CTCTGCCGCAACTAGTTGATGCCCGAGAGATCAGACACTTCATGCCAAACTTCATTAGACCAATGACCACTGTTTCACATGAAGTTGTCAAGCCGGGGGCCGCGCGCACTGCGCAGATCGGAGCGCTGCATTCAGAGAAAATTTTCCCGGGACCTCAGGCGGTCACGTGCCACAACGAGGGTCTACATGTCCTAAATATGCTTCATGACGAATGAAAATACAAGATCTGAATGCACGCATCCCACATGGAACCATAGTCGAGACAATCATTGCGCGTTGACCCACTTCGAGAATCCAAATATCGCTGTCAACATCAGCCAGCCATCCCTCTACAGAGGGCAAGTACAGAGCCAGAACACAGGCGCGGCAGCAGGTGGCAGACCGCATGATGAGGCAGCAGCTTTCTGCGTCGACATCGAACACCATGTCTGTGTCCATCAACGCCACCTGGGAGTACTCCGTCATTCGCCAAACCTCGGTGAGTCTGTGTGGAATGTGAGCTGAGCTCTACCATCCATGCCGTTTAAATACCGTCTAAACATGTCTAAACACAACCCTTGAACAATCCCCTGCTTCGTGAAGATACGAGGCAGATCTAGGCAGGTGACAAAGGTGACACGAGAAGATGAGGACCGCGCTGCGAACTTGTTCATGACGCCGCTCCACCGCTGGTGGATTACCTTGTCGAAGCTCAGAGTGGCCCAAACTGGCTGGGCTTGGAGCTTCACTCAGGTCACCCTCCTCTGCGGCCACAGCACAGGGTCCGAATCCATCACCGCAGGCATGGGGATGGGATCCGTGTAATAAATCTTGACCTTAGCCGCACTGCCCTCAAAGCCCTCCGACTTGCCTCTTCGCCAAAGCTCCCTGAAGGCACCCGGACCCCATCCCGCACCAGGATCTCCAGATGCTGCTTTGGAGTCTTGTCCTCGGACATCGCCCACTCCCAAAGTGCAAGTTCAGCCGAGAGGTGTGCAGAGATTTGGCAGGGGACGACCATGTTCTTGGGCACGATGGCCAGGATGTCCTGGCAAGTCACCGGTCTATCTCTCTGCCCGTGCCGGACCGCGAACAACACTGGAGCTACATCCTTCTGAGGGACCCCATGGGCCTGGTTTGCCCCAGCTGCTCTCATCGACTTCACAAGAACTCGCACCTTGGTCGCTGCAGCTAAAGGCACTAACAGGCACAAAAAAAAAGTGACAACGGGTTCTTCCCGCTTTACCGTCTCGGTCGCGCTGCTGAGATCAGGTTCTCAGAGCTGTTCCCGTAGAAGAGGAAAGCAAAAGCCTGGAAAGGGGTGAGCGTGAGAACTTCTACTAAACCTCCCCGTGTTTCTACCAAAGCCTGAACGGGGCCTGTTTCGGCCTCCCTCACTTCTAGTCCAATCCACGACTATGGTAGCGGCTACCTCGAAACCTTTCAGGTACCCTTCATTGCAGGAGCCTCCGGCATACAGTCACCCTAACCTGATGCACCTCTCTGACTTGAGTGAAGTGTCTTTCGAAAACCACCAAAGCATCAGCGTGTCAACCCGAAACCTTGCAATGAGCTCGATTTCGACTTCGACTCTAGCAGGGCACCTCGGTCGATTTGTCGCAGAGATCTCCACCTCAGCCAACTACATTTCAGGGGTCTGCAATTCATCGGGTTTTTCGCGCGTAGAGCCATCCCACAGCCCTAGCAAGCTGGTATCTTAGCGTGGGACAGTCGAGGCTTTCATGTGTTCAGTATCTCTTTTCGCTATTCGTCGGTTGCCCCTACAGCCAGCTTTTAATGCTCATTCGCTCACATGCAAGGAGAAAGATTGACCTGGAGTTTGGAGACTGCAGTCCGCCTATGCTCCACTGCGTGCGGTTCTGCATGTCCACAAGTTCATAGACGTGCCCCACCCAACAGTTGCACTGCCGGCCGGGAGAATCAAGCCGGTGAAGCAAATCTCGCTGTCACTGACAGAAGATCAGTCTGAGAGCATGGCCAACACCGAAATCGCAGGTGCACTTTCCCCAGCGACAGGTCCCGCGGCCACACCTGCAAAAACGGCACATCTCAGATATATTGCACCACACCACGCGTACAGAAATCCCTGAAACAGACTTGCTCTCTTCGCACGAGCTCCGCACGACATCGATTCACAGAGGGTGTCATTCCTTCGAGAACTGCACACAGCCGGATCTTGCAGGTAAGCTGCTGCACTGGTCCCCGAGGGAAGGCATTGGTCGATGGTACTGTGTAAGCAAAATACTCGCAGCTTTGAAGATGCAGTTTGGGCATGCAAAATCTGCTGGACACTGCACATTTTTGCCAAAGGGCCTGCAGGTGCCATCCAGTGATCCGGCGGAACGGAAGCAGATGGAGTTCCCAATCTCGGACGCACGGGGTCTTCTGATATGTGCTCATCGGAGTTACCTCTACCGCCCTGTCTTTGGGAAACGTAGAAGTTTCGAGTCATTCGAGGTCCCTGCATAGGTGGGTTCTCCACTTTCCCCCTTGGCATGGCTGATGGTCTTGCACTGCTCATCCTGCAAAGCTTCGAGTGCAGTTTCGAGTCTCGAGTCAGTGCATAAAGCTTCAATCCAACACTTGGCAAACAAGCTCCGCAGGCCCCGGTGGTGTATCAAAGCAGGAATTACTCGTTGCAAAAGCTGTCACTCTGCGCTCATGCATAAGGCCACCTCCCGGCAGTAGCCAGGCCACTTCTTCATGCACTGGCCTTTCACCTTCCCACCAAACTGTCTCAGTCTGCACGCAACTCCAAGGCTGCTTGGTAGCCTCCCATCCTTTCGCATTGTGCGTGTCAATCTCGGTGCCGGCTTTGCCTTAGAAACGTGGTTCAGAAACCGTTGCTCTCGGAGTGCAGTTCTGCTGGCTCAGGAGTTGGCAGAACAATGGGCAGTATGCCTCATCCGCATCCTGTCACAAGCTGTATACAGTCTACCCACCCACTAATCTTCCTGTAGCGGATGCTGCGGCACGGCCTCAGAGCAGCAATCCTCCTCTGACCTCAGGGTCGACTGGCGTACTCCGCCGAGATACACAGAACATGCAGAGATTTGATTCGCTGGCCGAGTGCCTCACCAGCAAACGCCTCCCTCACCCGACACTACCTTTTTCGGAATGGCGGAGGCAGCATGCGCCTGCGGCACCATTCCGATGTCAGCAGGCATGCCACTGACTCTCGCAGTTTCCAAGCCTTGGCCTTGTCCGTCCCCAAAACTAGCACTCGTTCTGAAAAAGTCGGTCACACGGTCACGGCCTCCATATGGATCATCTCGTGCTGGACCTGCTTGCAGCAAAGCTTTGGCTCGAGGCTCCAAATCGAAGACCTCACCTTGGTCTGCAGGAGCTGGAAGTCCATCGCCGCCAGCTCGTCCGCTTCCGCGAGCTCCACATCGGCCTGAAATTGACATCTTCCGCTTCAGGATTTGGGAAGGTGCGTTCCTGGCCTCGGAAGTCGCCCGACATTCGCCGGAGGGGCAGATGGCACCTCGGCCAGGGCTCTTGACGCATGTGTTATTCGAAGATCTAGCGCTGGTGGTCTTATCACCTGTTCTCTGGAGCTGCATTCGTCGTCGGAGGAAAACTTACAAGATCCGAGGGGCCCTTGGCCTATTCTGCGAGGTCTTTGGGTGCAGGCCTGGAAAATCTGTGCTCTTGACAACGGAACCCACCATGACCAGGATTGCCGCAAGATCTGCGGCACGGCCATGTCAATGTCTCATGTCGCACGAGCGAATCGCCTCTGTTTTCGGCTTTGAAGGAAACCTGATTCCCAGCAGGTTTTGGGGAACAAGTGACGGAGTCCGAGAAGTCCTTGCTGGCCTGCTAAAAGAACCTGCGCAGGTTGGATATTCTGCGAGGTCTTTGGGTGCAGGCCTGGAGAATCTGTGCTCTTGACGACGGAACCCACCATGACCAGGATTGCCGCAAGATCTGCGGCATGGTCATGTCAATGTCTCATGTCGCACGAGCGAGTCGCCTCTGTNNNNTGTATTCGGCGTTGAAGGAAAACTGAATCCCCGCAATTCTTAGGGAACAGCTGCGAAGTCTTGGGGTGCAGGCCTGGAGAATCTGCGCTCCTAACAACGGAGCCAAGCCCCTACAGTATGATCCAAACGGCTCAGACTTTGGCTTCACCTTCTAGTAACTGTTGCTTGCCTGGGCAAACTTGTTTATGCCACACCGATTCTGGGAATAGTGCAGCAGCGCTGACAGGGCAAAGTATCAAAAGGTGTTGCATTCATCGGAATTCCACACAAGGTCCCGGCTCGCCACGTTGGCCTCACATGACACTGCTGTTTCGGACAACCACAGAAGCAGCAAAATCATCCTGCTGCCTATGCTGCCGGGGGTGGGTGGGGCAGCTTTCTTTTGACAGCAGGAAAGTTCTGTGAGCATTCTGGCGAGCGTCTGGCGAGCGTAAGCCTCGGACTATCAAAAGTTGGAGAAGAAGTTGCATATGTAATCTGCCTGTGTCCGATGACTCAAAAGGCTGGACATGCGGGCACGACATACAACCACAAATGCCAAGACCTGTCATCGACACGGACACACACGCACGCGCGCACATACACACACGGCGCGGTTCGAGCCTGGCCTTGCATTTTCCTTGAGAAGCAAGTGGACCTTGCAGCTCTAGGAAGTGAGTTCGGACTCGGACATGCGAACAGAGCGCTTGCACTTTGAATCATTCAGCTGAGGTACTGAGGGATGAGATTTCCCCTCAGGACCCCCACTGTCGAACCAAAGCCGGCAGCGGCGAAAACTGATGTTGCAGAGTCGCAGAACCGAGCATGAACCCCTCTACAGTCACTTCATGTTCCGCGAGATCTCGGAACTCAAATGTCCACATGCGCTTGGAAGATAAAGCTGCAGTGCATAAACGGCAGCTAGGGTTCTGCACTGTGAGAGCCCGCGGTATGGGCATTCAATATGAAGTCAGTCCCTGGACCTGGACGCATGCACGCATCCCAGCCCCAGCCACAGGGGGCGGCGCTGACCTTTGCACCATCGGTGGGGCACCTGCACGCACCAAAGAGGGAAGGGGTGCACCGCACGAGGCGCCATCCTGGCCTGAATGCGGACGCATGGCGCTGGGCAGCTTCTGCGGCTGCAGGAGCTGGGCCTAAAGAAGTGATGCAATCGCATGGCGCACGAAGTGCAAAGTCCAAAGTCATGACCTCGATAGACTTCACGACATCGCTCGGAGTCGGTCTCGAGGCGGCCTGAGAGAGCCGGATCTCGAAGTGCTACGAACTGTGCTGGAGGCCGTGACGGGTCCCAACATACGACAATGCACGTGTGGATCCAGTCCTTGGAGAGGACATTACATATCATTACATGGGACGTGGCAGTGCCCCGTTGTGATCGGGACACCGAGGCCGGGGCCAAGCATGCTGGTGTCAATGACCATCGCCTGAACACGCGAGTGCCTAGTGGCAAGAGCAGAGTAGGGTCCCCCAGATCTGATGCGAAGCCAAAGACACTACAACACTTGAGGCCCTGAGGCTGGTGAAATCAAACCAAGAGCCCTTACCTATTTCCCGAAACGGTGCACCTACAGTCACTACACCAACCAAAGCAAGGCGCCTCCACCGCCTTGAGATCTTTCCCGGCACCTGCATGCTCCATCTCGCTGAGGCGCTGGCGCGCCTAGTCAGGAGCAGTGATGACGTCCCGCTGCGTTGCAACAAGAAGCCGGCAGGGAAAGGGAAGGCATCGAGCCATAAATCACGGGCCTCCGTTCGTCCTATGGTCAAGTGCAGCGCGAGAACCCCCAAGGAGAACATGTCGAAGGAGTGAACCTCTGATGCGAAACATCTCATCTGAAGCCACCTGCCGGGAGTGAGGATCCAGCTGGCTTCTCAAAGTTCAGCGGTGGGCCAAGGCCTGAGGAAGCAGGGCACAAGAGTCAGGCAGGAGATCACCGGTATGAGGTCTCGGCCATCAGCCGCATTCCGGACCTCCCACGGGAGCCTGTCAGTCAAGGCCGGGCACGTTTGCCCAGCTCGCGTTTTGCGACTTCCAAACAAAATGTCGTCCACCGCGCAGGCTGGTCGCGGACGCTCTGAGAATGGACTGAGAACTGCACCAGTCGTATCGCCGGCGCTTCTCTTCGGTCTCGCCACGCTTGCGGAAAGCCTTCGCCGGGCGATAGCGCGAGACTGGTAGACGAGACACTTCATCGAGGCCAAGGTGTGCCTGGACAGCATCGTTCGTGTTGGACCTGGTTCAAGTGATACTGACCCCGGTGGGGACATCTGGAATGCGCCACACCAGAAATGAGGTCTGGGGATACGGCTGCTGCCAATCTTCATCCGTGATCATGACGCCGAGGTCCAGGACCTGTTGCAATTTTGCAATTGCGACTTGTCTATGCAATCTGCAGCCGAGACGTTCACTACTCTTCCGCCCGTAACGTAAGACAGGCAGAGCCCCTTTCCTGCCGCCATGCACAATAAGTAACAACTAGGTAACAGCTTATCCTCGATAAGAGTCACCGCTGGGTCGCTGCATTAAGCAGTTTCCCGGACTGATGCGATCAGGATGCTAATTCCGCTTTTCAAAAAAAGACGGAGGAGGCTGAGGCGGCCGAGTGGCGATGCGCATCGCCTCAAAGGAAGGGCCAAGGCTTGCCAGTGATGACCGCCTGGGTCACGATGCCACTAAAGGCGAACATGGCAAGGCGTCCGTTCTCGAGCTCTTTCAGTCGCATGTCCTTCTCCTTGGCAGGATCCTTTGGCAGGAACTGCTTGCCGAGCCAATAGTCTCCTGCTTCACGGTTGATGCCATCACCAATCGGCCAGGACTGGAAGAAGAGCCAGAGGGAGAAGAGCTCGAAGATGCCGACCGCGCCTAGGAAGGGCAGCATGTAGCCGGCCTCAACCATCTTGTCGTGGGCCTCAATGCTGTTTGCCACGCTCTGGAACTTCTCGCCTGGGAATCGGGCACCCAGGTCCGTCGCAATCCATCCAACCGTCGCAAGCATGCAAATACGCCCATGCTTCAGTTCAGCCTCACGCACCCAGTAGACAGGAAGTGCGTCGGTCACGCCAAGAGGATCGAAACCTTTCTCCTCGCCGACCCAGCCTTTGAGCACCTGAGGATACCGCAAGAAAGGGACAGAAGGAGACATCTCCATCTCTTTGGGGTAGGTCTCGTTCTCCACCCACACACCCTCGGACAGCTTCTGCACGGCTTGCATGCTGGTGCGGCCCCGAGGAAGGGCACACAGGCCTCCGTTGTCCACGTAGCTGCCGGCAAAGGACTGGCAGTTCGCAATGTGTGAGACTACGAACTGCACCGGCTCACCCCAGAAGCCGTACTTGTTCATGTAGCTCAAGGGTGCTTCACCGAAGGTGCCATCCTGCCACATGAGGCCCATAATCGCAACCATGGCTAACCGGCCGTTGTTGCGCTCGGAGGTCTGCTTGCGCTCCAGCTCCTCCTCATCGATGCCGTCCAAAAGTTCCGTTCCAAGGCCGAAATCGAAGCTGCCCAGCCCACCCTCGCGAGGCTTCACCAGCACCTCGTGGGCCCCAACCAACGCAAGCAGCTGGATCCAGCCTTCCAGGGGAATGCTCTCAAACGCTGCAAGCCCATGCTTGAAGTCCTCGCAGCCCGGGAAGCGGAAGATCTCTGGCATTATGTAGCCGACGGTCGCAATCATTGCGACTCTGCCATGCTTGATCTCCACCGCTGTGTATCGCTCCATCTTCGCATCTGTGCTGCCAAGGTCAAGCGGGTCAAACTTGTCCGTGAGCGGCAAGCACACACCCACGACGTTGCGATCCACTCGGCGTGGGGCGGGCCGTGCACGGAAGGCCGTTGCACCGGCCACCACCGCAGCAGTTGCCAAGCCTGCGGTGGCCCAGGCGCCGGAGGCCGCCGAGCTGGAGGCCGGAGCTGAGGTGGAGGCCGTCGGAGCCCTGGAGGCCCTGAGGCTTCCCTGGCCTTGGCCCGCCGGCACAAAGGCCATGGCCGGTGCTGCACACGCCAAGGCCGCCGCAGCCCAAGTGCTAGGAGCCATGTTTTGCGACGGTTATCACGTCGAGTCCTTCCTAGCCTGGCCTAGCCCCGATCCTGAGCCAAGGCAAGAGGCAGGATGCAAACCCACGGAAGTTTTGCAGCGATCAACCCAGACATCGCTAATGCTTCTCGGCTTGGGCATACTTCCTCCATGCATTGCATTGCAGGCTTCATCCCGTCCCACTGCGTGCAACCCAGCCTTTAGCTTGCAAGGGCTGCTCTCCGTCGCACGCTCCGCCAGGTGCATGTTGCCTTCTAGGTTGCCATGTCTCACGGCAACTTGGCAAAGTGATGTGTCTGAGCTCGGAACAGCCCCGGAAGTCCCGGTGTATCAAGCCGAAGGTCGCAAGGTACCTGGAAGATTTCCCGTGATATGATCAGTGTGCATCGCTGCTGGTACGCACACTGGCCGTCTACCTCTTCAGGAAGACCAAAACCCTCAGCTCCGTTAATTAAATTACCCAGGGCACTCAAGGGCTCTTGCCGCCTGGAGCAGCACCTGCACTCAGAACGACGACACATCGAGAATCGTAGCAGGCAAAGCAGACACAGTTACGTGGCCCCTTGCACCTGGCGCTTCTCGTGAACGGACATGGGTGGTGGATCCTGACAACACCGATACTGCAAACTACTGAGATAACAACACAGGCATGACTTGATGTGCAGGTTCTGCTACTCGTGGAAATAATTCAGGTGGTTTGCTTGCAGAGAATGTGCCGGCGATGTCTGAAAGGGATCGACAGAACCGTCGTCCTTTGTAGCATGGTTGGACGGAGTCCGCCTGAAACAACTGCGAAGTACAAAATTCCACCCGCCAGATGCTGCAAGCATTGCAGGGCTCAGTCGATCCACAGGGCCCACACCACTCCCGATCCATCGCCACATGAAGAGGCTCGCCTTCCACCTGAATACCAATATGCACGGCTCAAGCCGAGACTCTGAACATCTCTGAACTTTGACATTCCGCTCGCTGGCTCATGCCAGAGATATACGAGTACCACAAACAGTCCGTACAGTTGTGCTGGGTAGGTCTCCACAACTGCAAGCTGAAGACTCCTGCTGTCCGTAACCATGAAAATCCATGCAAGGGTCGCCAGCTCCATCACCACATAAGGCGAAGCCACGGACACAGTCGGCCTCAGCAACAAGTTCAGGATCGGCGAAGCCGAATCAAGAAGCAGGCAGCTTCGAGCGAAAAGACTGGCAGATTGCACCGGTTACCATGCAACTTTCCTATTTCCAAGGGTGCACGAGAATCCCCAATAAGATGGAAGACCTCCGCAGTCAAATGTGCACGACGACTCTTTCCAGCGATAAAGCAAATATAGGCTATATAGACTCTGTAGATATGAAGAGACGGTGAACCCAGCGACTGAAGGCTCTGGCCCCTCCTTCTCCCAGTCCATTCCTGGCAAGAGCAAGGCGGGGGCTGGTCCTAGCATCGTGCCACCTCGCCCCCTGTTATTCCTCGCACAACCACGGAAGTTTGCCAGGTACTAGCTCTGGCCAGTCGTTCTGATAGGGTTGATTCAGCGCTCCCTATTGTGCTTTGCAATGCTTTGCAGCTTGCCACACGCCCAGCTGGTTCTGCAAGGTGTCGAGCGGTAATCGGGACAGCAACAAAAAGCCCGTTTCATCCTGGATTCCAGCTGCGATGGTAACATACTCTGGGATGGCCTGGAGTCTCAAACTTCTTTCGGCGTGCATCAAAGTCTCCTGGCAGCATGCAGGCACAATTTCACGCAAGCAGACAGCTATCAACAAGCTGTCGACAATTGACACTTCCAGGCGAAGCATGCGTCAGCACGTGTCAGCTCGGCTTCCCCACCAAACAAAAGGACTGCATGGTGCCTGGGAAGACTTGAAGCAGGCCAGTGTAGTCCTTTCGTGCAATTCACTTCTCCAGGCATACTCGCTCTGTGTCTTTCGCAAGGAGTCACGCTGGTATCGAGCCTCCAAATAACGTGCAAACAATTTGGCAGCAGATTCGCCTGCGCATGTCTGCTGAAGTATCAGCATTGCGACAGAGCTTTTACGTCTGCACGCTGCAAGTAAGCACCGCACAGTATCTGCCGTCCTTTGTGTTGTGCAGTTTCTGCAAGGACCTCTGGAGTCAAGTGAGCCAGCGTCATGGAGCAGAACTTGAACACTTGGCCGGTGCTTCTGGCAGAGGCGCTCTAGCACCAGCGCCACGCAAGCACGTGTGCTAACACATACACGCACAGCAACAAGTGCAACATCAACGCAACAACAAACCAACCCTCCGAGAGGGAGGCAGAGAAATGCACACACACACACACACGAAAACAGAGAGACAGAGAGAGAAAGAAAGAAAGAAAGAAAGAGATTAAAACATGATGGAATCTCAGCGACTGCAAATTAAACGTCTGAGCCGTCCACCACTGGCTCTCGCGGTGCATGGAAAAACAATGCTGCTTCCCCCAGTATGCCTGGGCATGCACAGGATCGCGATGTGCCGGCGCGATGTGGCCAGTATCCAATGGAACTTCTGGCACGCTTAGCTACGTAAGCTCCTTGCACGCTGTGGATGCTTCAGCACCTGTCAAGCCGAGTTGGCAACATTGCTCACAAGACTCAGACCACTGCCCTCAACAAAGCACGCGGCGGCTCAGGTGCCTTGACGGCCACATGACCAAGCGATCCGGAGCAGTCGTAAGCACGGTAGACCACACCTGGGCAAGCTTTCTGTGCATAACGCGCACATCTGGCTGTGCCTCCGGCAATGCTTGGAGAAGCAGTGCAAACTTGGGTCCTCTGAGCCGCCCCACCAAGTCCGCCCTCGCCTAGCCTAGCCTCGCGAGGGTAACACGAAACGCAAATAGCGAACGAATGGCGTTGTGTGACTCTGCCGCGAAACTCAATCGCTTGCAGCACACAAAGCAAGGCAATACACCTGGTAGTTCCATCTCCCTGCACCGGACGCCGAATCCTGCAAGATGCATCGAAAGAACTTGCTAGTCTCTACGAACCTCAACCGTGTGACCACTGGTTTACAACTGCAAATATCAGGCCGCGGCATAGCAATCTGGCAAGATGTCGTCATCCCCCCTGGAGAATGTAGCTTACATGGTTCTGTCACATATAAATATACATATACATGTACATATACAAATACATATACAAACACATATGCATGTAGATGGATGAATGTAGCCTGTGAAGCGCAGAGTGAAGATAACAAGGAAGCGAACCATTGGGAACCCATAAGCCATGCCAAATTCCAATGCAATGGTGCCAGGCACGCAGCTTGTCCGGAACGCGTGCTGGCAGAACAACCTTGCGAGTCCAAGACGGCCACACACACGCACACACAGGTCTCAGAGACCGCGACCCCCCCGGCTCCTCCTCCTGGCGTCGATGGAAGAATGTCAGCACTTAACAAGTGCCGCTCTGCTTCATCCCGCATGCATCATGCGTGCAAGTTTTTGTCAACAAGAGTTGCTGATCAGCATCCATCCAGGTCCATGCACCTTCAACCCCCCAGTCAACCTGCATACACAAATCCACCACAGAATGGATAACGGAACACAATAATTAACTTCACCTTGGGCCCGCAAGCGGATCGAAGGTGGAGGCCACACAACGCCTCGGAGAGCAAGGGCATTGGAGACGCGCATGGTACCGTTAGTAGTCGGACCCCCGCAAAGACTTCCATGCAATGCCCTGAAAATAAAGTGTCATGCAACTGTGATTGCAGGAACATTGAACCTGAATGATTGAGGCGATGAGTTGGCCAGCAGACTTTCAAGCCGTTGACGAAGAGCTGCTGGCCCAAAACCCAGTGCGGTCAGCGATCCGTGAACCGAAGCGGGACGCGGACTCAACAACCCCCGCAGCACTGCATTTAAGGGCATTCCTTGCGATATTCAGTGCTGCATATATCCCCTGAGGCCGACTGCCAACACGGTATGAATAAAAGTGGAAGAGGCTGGTCTCCAGCACCTGACTAAATCACATGCAACGATTCACTATCGACAGAAGTTAACACAGCAAGCCTCGTTTTGACGAACATTCCGGCATTTGCTCCGAAGAGGAACGACCTGTTGGCAAGGAGTACGTTCATGAAGGTATGGGCACCCAAGGAATTGAAGCAGCAAGGTGGAAATAGAAAAGCGGATGCTAGCGAAAGCGTCGCCTCACCAAAGCATTAAATCATTAGCGAAAGTGCTACTGAAAGCATGGGAATGCATGGGAGGCGTCGTGGCACAAGCTGGAATAACAACACCGCGCTTGGTGCATGGCCAGGACATGCCCGTCTTCCAGCACCTCTGGAGGACCTCCTCGGAAGTACACGGCGCATAACATCATGGCCACGTGCCGCTAAGACACTGATTGAAGCAAAGGCCTGTGCCCAGTCGCAGGATGTTGGCCAAATCAGGGAAACCGTCCGGCCCCAACCTTGAGCCATTGCAAGGTACGTGCTTTCTTCGGGTCCCGTCCCTTGAAATCTGAGCCACGACATGCAGGGCGACATTCATTTGCCATGACCAAGATCCTGGCTTGCATAAGCCGGTGCCGTTCTGAGACCTGGCCAACATCCATGCGACGCAAAGAATGCCAACGCGGGAATTTTCAGGCCGCCCCGCCCCCCCCCCCCGGCATCCCGGTAAGTGACAATACACACTGAGATCTGAGTGAATTGGCCTGTCCCGTGCCAGGACACAAATTTGTCCAGCTTTTCCTTGCGACCTGGTTGCATGCATCTTAATGATTTATGCACTGAAAACGCACTCAGTGCCACACAGTTGTACAAAAACGAAGCCTGCTGGCGGTTAGATCTTTTGCTGTGCATCGTCTTCTCGGGAGCAGACAGGCGAGACAGTGCCGATGTGAGGGCTGCGCGCACGTCCTTCGGATCGCGCATCATCTCGTCCCGAGCCATAGCCGCTACACGTTGCGCGGCTCGTCTATATGCGATGGCGATCGGATCCCTCATTAACAGTTCGAAGCGGTGTGGTGTCCGGACATAATCCAAAGACTGTGAGCGGCCTTCCATTAATACATTCATGCCAGCTGCTTGCATCTTGCAAGCCGCTCTTGCCGCAAAGTTCACCACCTCACCTTGCATCTTTGCGGCGACCATCGGGACGAAGCTACCGACTTCGGGCTCTTTCAGCAGTGTATTGGCAACCTCGGAGACGAGGAAATCCTGGTCCAATCCTTTGATTTGAATGTCAAAGTCTCCCTTGAACTCGCCGAACTCCAAGTGTGAGATCAGCGCTTCCAAGAATTGGTGCGTCAGCTTGTCTGGCTTCAGATCCGGGCACATGCGCAGGGCCAGCAATGTTAGGGCACGAAAGACATTACCGTTTGACCAGCACGCAGCCTTGGGCATGCCAGCCTGAAGCTTCTTGACGAGAGTGCTCTTGCCTGTTCCGCTGCTGCCTTGTATCACCACTACACATCCGCGTTCAGGAGCACGGCCAAGCTTGAGCTGGATTTCATCGGCAATGACTCTCACTGATTTCCATTCCGCCTCGATCTGGCACACGGGTTCCACTCGAGGGTTTTCCTGCAGAACACCCCTTGCCACGGCCTCGGCCACGCCTTTGGCAAGCTTGTCTTCGTCCTCTTTGTCGCGCAGCATGGCTGCCTCTGCCTCCAACCTCGCCAACAACTGAAAGCTGGGCAGTGCCTGAACAGGGCATTGAAGATGTAAGAAACATTGGCAACTAACTTCTCGTGCTTCGCTGCTGACCCTGTCTTCCGGGCCTACCTGCAAAGATGTTATCACCGAGTTCGATGTCTCGTCGGAAGCCTCTTGCAACAGCTCGGCAGTGAGCACCTCGCACAAGCGCTCGCGTCTTCATCCGGGCCCTTTTGCAGCTGCCAGGCCGCCTGCGTTCCGGGCATTCGAAACGCACGACGCTGTGCTGCGTGTGCTGCGGCAGTCACCCAGCTGCCAAGGCCTCACAAAAGGGCACGGCCCTGTGTGTCCCCAAAGGCAGCCAAGCCTTCGGCCTGATAGGCCAAGTCCCCATGCTCTCCCGTCAGCTTGCCGGCGTCCCCCGCCGTGCGCTGGGAGTGCCTTGGGCAGCCGAGCCGAAGACAGGCGAGTTCCACGAGTTCCACGAGTTCCAGCCAGGCCTGAGCCATGAGCACAGATCGCAGAGCGTGACCTCGCAGCACAGACATCTCCTTAGGATCCAAGCAGTCCAACACTGAGAACGGCATCACCGCTCCGCTTCGGTGGCCAGGAGACTCCAATCTTAGCCGCCCGAGGTATGGAGCCAGACCGCTGCACGACCACAATGCGCTCGTGGACGGAGCCATTCAAATGTTGTTTGTTGTTTACGTGAGCCGTATCTGTATGGTCTGGGTTTAGAAAAGATGTGCATGTCGGACCTTTGGACGAAGGCAGAAGTGCTGGTGGCTGCTGGTGGGGATGCTAGGCCCGTTGAACATGCACAGCTGAGCTGTCAAACACGGCCCGGCATCGGAACGAGAGAATTGCTTGGGGGGATTGCAAGCTGTCTGCAGCTCTTGGCTCGGGGCTTTCCGTTGCCTGGAATGCGTCCAGCCGAGAACTCCACGTGTGCAGATGAGACACCTCAGCCGCTCAGTACGCATGTTCCTGCTAAAAGTAGCGGTAAGACGAGCACGAGAACGGCTTGCTTTCCAGTGCTCCGACTCTCCGACGGCAAGAATTGGGGTCGAGGGCCACCTACCATGATCCTTCTGATCATGCGAATTACGGTCTTTACTTTGTCCCATCTTGAACTTCGATCGTGACATACCCGTCGGCTCGGCTGGCCGTTCAGGTGAAACAGCTCTCTGAAGCAACGAACAAATGGCCAAGAAGCTCCAGCTTGACCATGATCGCATATCTTTGGGCCCTACCCCAAAGCAGGGAGTAGTGTTGCACAGGTGCTGTGGGAGTACATGACGGTCCGGAGACGACTTTGTTTGGTTATACTGTAGTTGCACCTGTCGGTGCTCCGTCACTGATATGTTTTTTCTTATCTTTGTCTTGCTGGTGTTGTTGGTCTGGTGAGTTTACATGTGTCAGGGTGCGGTCACAGCCAGTCGCGGCTTCTTAGTCTGTTATGTTAACCCTGATTCGCAGCAGCCGGAGCTTCCGAACCTTTAGCGTCCTCAGCTGTCTCTGGCCCTGCCGCCTCCTCCAGGGATGCGATGGCTTCGGCCTGCGATTCCAGCCGGAAGCGCTTCCCCCCTTGCACCAATTGCACAAATTCATCGAAGCCTTCTGTGCGTCCGCCCGATCGGAAGACTGACTGAAGATGTCAGTGGAACACACATACAAAAAAGTCCGAGCCTCATGTTGCTGCTGCGCTTCCTTTCGACGGCGTTGCTGCCTGCGCATTTCGTCCATCTCGCGCTGATACCTTCTTGAACAGCGCCGAAAAAAACAGTTCCGGTGACAAGCATGTGCTTCAACGAACCTGTGAAGCATGTTAGAGTCGGGCAAGGTGCGGATGCTTGTCCAACTCCAGGAACTCAACGAGAACCTGTGTGGATGCTGGCCCCGAAACGCTGTAGATCATGGGTGTCGCTCTCATGGGTGCTGTGCTTCCCCCATTTGCACCCGAATTCGGACATTATCAGGCTTTGCAGCGCTAGAATTAGGGAAAAGTGCGCCGACATCACGCCACCAGGTCACTGCCACTACCTCACTACCACACCGCCTACTACTACCAGTACTACGATGGCTGCTACTGCTACAGCAGAAGCAGCTGCTGCTGCTGCTGCTGCTGCTGCTGCTGCTGCTGCTGCTGCTGCCACTGCTTCTG